TGCGTCTGTCACTCAAGGAATGGTTCAATTACACTGAAGCAACTCACTCCACCACTGTAATGGTAACCATTTCCAGAGCTCAGTGTACTTGTGAAATTGGGCCAGTACTTCCACTACTGAAAATACAGCCTTCCACTCTGTAGCATAAAGTCCTTGCTGGTATGTATGAGCTGGAGGCACAGAAGATGACAATTCACATTTCAGGCACCAGACAGCCTAACAAGAACGCAGCACTGTGGCTGTACAAACACAGCAGTTCCACTAAAATGATGGCAATAGGAAAGAGCTTGGTTTCTTCACAGAGCGACAGCCTGAGAAATCAATAGCCATTTATTAGATCCTGAATTGAACAGCTGAGGAAAAAAGCACTGTAAGCAATTTTAATAAACAGAAAATGACACACTGCAAACAAAAAGTATTTACAAGATCCTATGGCCTCAACAGATGGAAGGGAAAATTCTCACTGCAAAAAATCTAATCTTTCTTTTCATCTTGAATAACTGCACACCCCTTTCACGTATCACTAAAAGCCATGTAGCCCCCTGAGACTGAAGGGCTATTAAAAATGAGAGCTTAACCACCTTAGTTCTACTTTCCAAGCCACACATAGGCCTTACAGGTTCACCCATCTCTTAAGTTTTTCAGCCAAATCCCCTTCCAGAACCACATCACTAATTTCTGATGTTCAGAATTGCTGATGTTCAGAACGCCCTTGAGGACTTGCTCATACCAGAAATAAAGGTAAACAGATAGAATAACAGAAAAGCTTAGAGTTCCTTTCCCAACTTTCATTTTTGCAAGCAAGCTACTCTTGTATCACGACATTTTCTCCTTTAACTTTGGTCTATCTGATCCCCATATAAAGGCCAGGGTTCTATTACTGGCTGGGAAGAACTGGAACACTGCTGGCACAATCAGGTAAGGTAATTATGCTGTTACCACTTCCAACTGCTTATGGCAGTGCTTCAGATGTGCAGTATAATTCTATTAGCAGAAGAAACTGGTAAATGAGTCAGATGCTTCTTTGATGCATACCTACAAAGAAGGCACACTGTGTTTCTTTTCTGTAACAAATCATGCAGTAAAAGACAGCATCACCCAATTTTTCTTACTTTTGTTCTTTTTGAAACACTTCAGTGTTCTTGCTTAGCTTCTAAGATGGTCACATTGCTTGTGCTTCACTGACTTTTCTTGGCTTTTCACTGTCTTTTCAGCCAGCTCCTACGACCAATCTGCAGTTCTCTGCTAAAACTTGCACGCACACTTGTTCTCCCACACAGAGTTCACCCAGTAATGCCTGGGTCTCTGCCTTCACGCTTAACCTCTTGATGATACTCCTGCAAAGCCTGACCTGCTTTGCATCAGACGCTGTTTCATATTCAATGCTCTATTTCTTCACAAATCTATCTAGTTATTTTTTGAATCTATCTATAATTTTTGTAGGAACAAGATTTGTAATTTAAAAATGTGTTAAAAGAAAATAAGGCTCTGGGGTGACCTCATTGCAGCCTTTCAATACCTAAGGGAGCCTACAAACAGGAGGAGAATCAACTCTTTGAAAGGGTAGATAACAGCAGGACAAGGGGAAATGGTTTTATGTTGAGGGAGCGAAGATTTAGGTTGGATGTCAGGGGGAAGTTCTTTACAGAGAGAGTGGTGAGGTGCTGGAACAGCCGCCCAGAGAGGTTGTGGCTGCCCCGTCCCTGGAGGTGTTCAAGGCCAGGTTGGATGGGGCCCTGCGCAGCCTGGTCTAGCATTAAATGGGGAGGTTGGTGGCCCTGCATGTGGCAGGAGGGTTGGAGATTCGTGATCCTTGAGTTCCCTTCCAACCCTGACCATTCTGTGAGTCTGTGATTCTGTGTTAAAAAACAAACAAACAAACAAACCAAAACCTCTTTGGGCTTCAAGTCCAAAGACTTACAGTCAATTTCAGCCCTCTCGTTCCTCATCTTGAGAAGGAATTAAAAATTTCCTATTCACAGACTCCAACTTAGCCATGACTTTGTACATCATGATCATATCGCTCAGTCATTCTTTCTTGAACTGATCCAAATGCTGTCCTGGTTACTGTATCTTTATTAAAAAAAAAATCCAAAAGCCAATTCAGATCTCTTGTTGTTATTGCCATCCGGCTTTGAACTTGCTTATGTAAGCCAGTCTGCCTGCTCTGTACTGCTTACATAATTTTGTCAGAAGTCTTTGAATGTTGAAAGTCAACAGATAAATGATGAAAGAAAATCAATATATTTATATTTTTAATTACTTATACTGCCTTGGTTTCTTTAAACACTTTCTAACATCTTTCCTTGTTCAAAACAAAAACTGAATTTTGGACAAAGCTGTTGGACAGTGATCCTCATTTTTAGGATCAGATTAATTGCTGAATTTTGTCTTATTATGTAGTTCATTTCAAGGAAACAGTTCTCTACTTTCAGTGTCATGAAAAAAAAAACCAGCACTGGGTGAGTGTACACCTGCAAATGTCAGCAAAAGCAGACTAAGAAGGAAAGGGAACAGGCTTCCCATTCAGATCAGTCCAAGGTGCCAAAAAACCAGCCTGCAACCCAAATGCACATTCTTCACCTCCCCGCCCACCCCACCACAAGTTCCTACTCCTACCTCCTGTTTGCTGACACAGTGGTGTAATGGAATGGATCGTCGCACTGAGCTGATGGATCTGCTTCAGCTGGAGGGGAAATGAGATGAAGTATTTGGAAGATAGCAGTGTTCAGGTGTGGTTGGATGACCTGGTTAGGATAAGAACAGAGAAGGTTGCTTATGAACATTATTAGAAATGAGACATCTGCCACTGGGGCATTACAGTTTTTAAATACTAACACACTGCTAACACACTGGGTGTTTTATGCCTTTATAAATTAAAATAGTCTGAAATAGTTTTATTTATGAAGTAAAGATGTTATAAATATACTTAAAAAGGAAAAGTGTCAAGGCCACCTCAAATAAACCTCCCCCAAACTCATAACTGATCAGGTCTCTCTCTGGATTTCTGATTTTAAAAGTTCAGTCAAATTCCTCAAATATGTTTCTGTCACAACCCAAGAGGAAAAAAACCACAAATATTTGTAATGTTTTTCAGTAACTGGCACTTTTATGGACACACAGCCAATTATCTTAACGTGCTTTGGAGAACAAATTCATCATGTTCCAAATGATCAGGTTTTGAAGATAAACTAGTTCTCCTGTGTATTAGACTGTAGACATTTACCATGGACCACATTGAGAGACACTAATAGAAAAACTGTCTTTGCCATGGGAAAGCCTGGATACAAGCGTATGAGAGAACACTGTAAATATAAGTTTGGTCTGTTGGACCTTAAGACGGTAAATGAATGCAGAACTGAGCAAGCATAATATTCAGTCTTTGTATTTATTCACTGGAGGGAGAGAAAAACTGTGAGAGTCAGAGAAAGAAACTGGAGCTTGAGTTCACTTATTTCTTTGTAGAATGTATTACTTTTACTAAGGTGATGAAATGAAGTGTTCTGTTAGGAAGAACATTCATGTTCTTCATGTTAATATATTCAGTCTAGCAGACAGGAGGTTCCTTTGATGAGCTGAACATGAGGCTCAGAGAGAGGTGATAAAATGCTCAAATGCCAGGAATATTTGAAGTGACCCTTTAAGGAGAGGACAGAAGGGAGACCACAAAATAGAAGGAAGCTTCAAAATACAACAAAGCCTTATACAGCTTCAGGATGAATACTAATCAGTTATATCTGCTTATGCATCCTTACCATTTCCAAGTCACCGTTACTTGGAAGTATCAAATGTAATCAGAGTGAGAAAAAAGCAGCATTGCATTTTCATCAGGAACAGGGCAACTTCAGAAATTATGTGTATGGGCATCTCTTGCTGCCTAGGCATTTTCATGTTTCAATAATAGAACGCCAGATGAAAAGAAACAGCTTATTTAAAATTGCTCGAACACAGATTACAGGCTTGTCTTGCCAACAGAACGATGTATTTCCAGATCAGTTCTTTCGTGCACTCCTTTTCCAAAGACTGCTCATCTGTTGCCATAGAAACCCTTTCCGACTCACTCTTCCCTTTAGCACAGGTTCAGTTCTGGACGATCCCCTCTGCAGCTGCCTGGGCTGCTCTGGCCTTGCATTTGCTCGGGGGCAGCCAAAGGTTGGACTAAATGATTGAGGTTGGATTGACATTTGACGGTTGGACTACATGATCTTGCAGGTCATTTCCAACCTTGTGATTCTATGAAAGGGAAAGCACAACAGCTGCAAGTACACAACGAGCAGTTGCAGGCAGCAGATTTTCTGTAGTTTTTATGCAGGAAACTGCCACACAGTGGGAGGATACAATTTGGCTACCTGGTGCATGAAAACACGGGCGGGCACCACGACTGCTGGATCTGCAGAGATGCTTTGTAGCCCTGCAAAGGGGCCTGTCCCATCAACCACATCCTTCATTTTAAATCCTTGTTCTAATTCTGCTTTTGCTTTCATGGGAAGTAACAGAAAATGCAAAGATTCTCCTTTGGTTAACCGGTAACTTTGGCACATATAAGCCCCGCTTTGTACACGTGGGGGAGCTGCTCTCATAGCAGCGAGGGACGGCACAGGTCCGAGCAGCGGCTGCCCTGCAGCGCGATGCCAGCGGGGCAGGGCTTTCGGGGCTCCTCTTCAGAGCTCTCCCCTCAGGGCGCAGCTCAGCCGCCTCAGCTCCCGCATCCTGACAGGAAGGGCCCCTCCACCGCTTGCTTTCGGCGCTGCACGGTTTTTCTCTTTCTTTGTTTTTAAATCTTTTTGTTGTTGTTGGAGAAACGGCATTCGGTAAGGTCAGCGAGAAGGAGGAGGAGCCAGCCGCCCATCTGGCCCCTGGTACCGCCCCGAGGGGCGGTGCCAACATGGCGCTCCTCGCCCTCACCTCACGGTCCTCAGACAGCGGCGCAGTCGCTGCACTGCCGGTGGGCCCGCCCTCTCCGCCGAGTGGGGGCGCTGTGATTGGCTCTCAGCAGGCGGAAGTGGCCCCGCTTCGCCTTGAGTGGCGGCGGCTTGGCGGGAAGCTGCTGCGGGGAGTGCGCGGCGTTGGGGTCGTGCGCATCGTGATGCGCTGGGTTTAACTACCACGCCGAGCTGAGGGGACGGCGAGGAGCCATGCAGGCCTTCCTCAAAGGCCCATCCTCCATCAGCACCAAGCCTCCAGCCGCCAAGGAGAGGAGCGCGGCGGGGAGCAGCGGGGAAGGCAAGAGGCTCAAACCCGTCCCCTGGGTGGAGAAATAGTAAGGGCCTGCCGGGCTGGGGGCTGTGGGGCGGGTCGCGGCTGTAGGTGTCTCCGCTGGGGGACAGTTGCGCTCCAGAAATGAGCGCGGGGCGGTGTTCTGTGTTCAGCACAGACGGCTGAACGTAAGCTGAGCTGTCGGGTCACCGCGGGGAGGCAGACCGGAGGCGTCTGGCTGAGTTCCTGTTGGGATTCTGGCCTCGGCTGCGAAATTTACTGTAGCTCTTTGGCATCGATGTCATCAGGAAGGGGAATGTTGTCTTTCTCAATTTCCATTCTCGCTGAAACTGTTTGGTAATAAACCGCATTTGATGTCTTTTCTCTTTAGTCGCCCCAAAAACGTGGATGAGGTCGCTTTCCAGGATGAAGTTGTTGCTGTGCTGAAAAAGTCCTTGGAAGGCGCTGATGTGAGTGCTGCCGTAACGTCTGCCTGAGCACAGAACGTGTAGGCAGTGGTGGGGACTTCCCTTTTCCGGCTTGGCTATGGCTGATTCTCCAGGCTAACGAAGTGACTTCCAATGGCACGTGGTGAGCAGTGCGGTGTCTCTGCTGCTTCCAGCTCTCAGAGCACTGTGACACATTGGAGTTTTTCTGAGAAATCTGAACTGGTGAACTTCCTGTTAATAATTTCAGTGCTGCAGAAGCTTTTGTTTTCTAGATGTTATTCAGCTGATGCTTCTGTCATTTATGACAAAGAGTGGAGGGGAAACTTTTCATCGAACAACTTAGATTGCCAGTTATTGCTAATCAGTTTGAGTGATTTACTAAGAAAAAGCTAAACGTGTTTCTTGTTTTTGTGGTGTTTTTTTTTTTTCCCCCTCCTACTCCCCAAGTGTGGAAAATCCCTTTCTTACATATATGTTGACACTTCTTTAGCTCCATATTTCACCTAGAAGGGGTATTCTTGTGCTCCAAAAATGGCTCTGTTTCTGTGGACAGCCAATGCTAGATGAACTGGTTGGTAAGGATATTCCAAAAAGAGCAGTTATGATGTGGATATCTGCTCACTGAGAGCTATAAAAACTATGTCAGGCTTTTCAGAGAGTTATGGAGGAACCCTTTCACTTATTTGTACTCTGATGTGCGATGTGTATCCATAGTCTTTGGTGTTTGGAACTCTTACATTGAAACAATTCTCCTTTTGATTAGCTTGAGACTGTTTATACCTGAAAATATTCATTTAATCAGAACATGCAGAAGCTGAAGTATTTTATATTTGAGTATGGGGGTTAAAATGGAGCTGGGATGGCGGAATTGGGAAAGACTTGTGTAACTTATTTAGTCTATGTCTCCAGATTCAGATTATTTTAAGGACATGGTTATGACCTTACTGTGTAACGTTGCATCCTTGAAAATCTAGGTCTCAACAGCAACGCTGCTGTATTTTAGTATTTGTGTAGTTCTAGAAATTAGTAAGGCACTGTTAATGGCTGAAGCGAACTGAGTTCTGTCATCTCTTCTATCTGGACACATCAGTCTTGCAGTGTTGCTTAGGTGATGGGTTGTCAAGTTCTATTTTGAGCAGCAGTTATTTAAAACCCTTTGCTTCTGGATCAACCACGTATCTCCGTCATGAGCCTTGTGCACTTGTGCTGACTTTTTGCCTCCTGAGTTGAAAAAAGGCAAATTATAACTCTTTTCTATGGTGGCTACAGGCTCTGTATTTTACTATAGAAACCCAAGCTCAGCAAGCCATTTGAGAACAAAATTGTGAGTTGTTCAAATATTTGATGCTTTCAGAATTTAGATGGTTTTGACAATTCTTGAAAGAACTCATTCTGTCAAAAAGGCAAAAGTGTAATTTAAACTCTGAGTGGCTGACTCTTGTGTCAGGAGTTCTTACTGAATTTGGAGATCTGATGGGATCAAAGAAACAGCTGTGATGATGTGCTAAGCTTGTGTCATGTGCTTTATTTAAACCTTACTGTTGCAAATGGAAAGTTGGTCCTCTGTTGAATTGCTTTTAAGTATTTGTAGGCCCTGGTTTTGTAGTTGCTAAGTAGGGCAGGATTTCTAAAACTGCAGTATATCTCAGTCTAGAATTGCAAGCATCTCTCGTTATAAACTGGAAAGATCCGAGTCCAGGTGGTTTTGAGCCTGAGACATTGATTTCTGTTTTTGTTGCTGCTTTTTTTCAGAGAAACTGACATATGTTATGGTGTTCTTTAATTTTCAATTACTAGATTATATTTTACTGATAGAGAACCTAGAAAAGTAAGAGTAGGGCTGTAATTTTGGTTTCCATCCTCACTTGTGAAACTTGTAGACAGGTATTTGAGGCTTCTCCTGCTTGTGGCAATTCCATTGAGCAGGCGGTGCCTGCAGGTATCCTGCCTTCCCCAGCGGGCCTGGAGCAATGGTTAAACCAGCTCAGCTTACAGTCTGTTAAAATTAGAGCCACAGAGTTGCATGAAGGATGAGGCTGTGCTGATTGACAAAGCAGTGTAAATACTAGTGATAACCTCAGTGAGAAATGAGCATAAAAGGGGTTGAGCCCAAGCAATAGTTGCAGCATGGATTTAACAGACTCAGAAACACTGATTCCTGTTAAAGCTTTTAAGCAGCTAATGCTTGTTTTGAGAATTAGTGTGAATTAGCACAGAGCCATGGAATTGTGAATCTTGAAAACACAACTCCACAAAATGTCTGCTTGTGCAGTGTGCTGACTAACATGGCTGGGGGTGAATTTTCTGTTGTTGTTTAGGAAGCATTTCCTCTCCATGGAGATTTCTTAAAACTATATATAGGGAGACAATGATGCTGTGGGGTTTAATTAGACTTGAAAAATCCTGTGTTTGTCTTGAGTACTGTTTAGTTTTCATTAGCCAGGGAACCAAGCAACAAATGATTGGCAGAAAGAGCAGGGAAAGCTCAATGTGCTTTTTATAATAAAATGATGAAATTCTGCCATCCATACTTTTCCAGCCCATACACAGTTATGTTTCTTCTGTCTTACCTTAGTTTTTAAAATGAAATGCCTGTTGCATAAGAGGTCTGTCTGTCATTTTCTGACTGTGGATCATACATCCCTGCGTTTCACTCTGCTCTTTAGATGTCTTTGGCTTTTCTGCTCTGATTCTGTCTGCATTGCTTGCTATATTCAGCATAAAATTCTTTAACTTCAGTTGAATCTTCAGAAATAGAACATGAACCAAAAATAAGTCAGGCAGGAGAGGTTTATATTATTGCTGTTCTAAGAATGTGGAACTGGAACATCTACTGTCAAAAGCAGTTGTTTTAAAACACAACGTGATAATTTATTTGAAGGACTACTTGCAGAGGTGTCTAGCTCCAGTGCTGCTTGATTTCATCCAAAATTAAATCATGGCTAACTTACAGACTTTGGTTTTTGCTGGCTTTGTTCTCTCCCTGTTGCTGTTGCTCTGATGCATCTATGGGGTCAGTGGATACTTGCTCTCCTTTTCCTGGGCAACTCTTAAAAATAAATAAAGGAATTTCTCGTAAAATAAATCCTCCATTCCTCTAATAACATTTTCCAGTTAGAAATTGTCTGTGGTTTCCCAGGTAATGTCTTGTTAGCCTTGTGTTAGTTTTACTAATTGTCCATTTGTATGAAAACGTGCATCCTAGGGGCTGTGTGTTACAGTGGTGAGGAGTACAGGAACAGCCCTGTGACAGACAAATGAGGTCAGCTTTTGTTTTATTTCCAGCTTGTGAATTCCAGACGCCCAGCAGACATTTAGTGATAAGGAAGTTTTATGTGATGTGCTCCTAGGTATTATCCTATAAATATTATTGTGGTCTTCCCTGTGCTTCTTTCATCTTCCCATGTCAGTGTGCTTCTTCAGTGCATTCCCGTTTCTCATCCTAATGTCATTAGTGAAAATATTTGAAAGATCTGTTAAGTTAATCTCTTTGAGAAATGACACAGTTTCTTCCTTTGAAAAATCTTCTGTCAGGTGCTCAGATTCTCAGTAGATTTTCCTGTTTTGTTTGCTTGTGTTTGTGGTTTTTTTTTTTTTTTTTTTTTTTTTTTTTTGTTTGTTTGTTTGTTTGTTTTTCTTAATAAATATGCCTTACTGTTCCAGCTTCCCAATCTGCTGTTCTATGGCCCGCCTGGAACTGGAAAGACCTCCACTATTTTAGCAGCTGCCCGAGAACTCTTTGGGTAAGCTAGAATTGTGTTGCATTGGTATAAGCAACAATCACATGTCTTCTAATTGTTTGTCTCTGGTTGTTGCCTCTTCTTATGTCACTTCTGGAAACTTTCTCATATATTCTTACTCAAGAATGGCTTCATGTTCTGCTTCAGTTCTAACATCAGCTGTCTCTCTCAACCTGGTTAACTCATGGTTACCATCATGGCTAGCAATACATACTTGAGTTTAACAGCCATGGTAACCCTGTGTACCTTTAACCAAGTGTTCATTAGCAGAAAAGAGTATGAAAAGAGATGGTTTGCATGTGCTGTGCTGAACTTTGTAGAAGAACTCCAGTTTTGACAATTTATTCAGTAAGTTGTTAGCTAAACACATCTTCCTTCACAAAATGTCTGTATCTCAGTGTTTCTGCTGCATGCATTGAGTTATGGCAGGAAGTAATCCTGGGGCTCAGACCAACTTTCAGCATGTTATAGCTCTTGTGAACTCTGTGTACTTTCACTAAGAGAATTATAACATGTTTTGAGAAGTGTTTCAGCCTGATCAATAAGCAAAAAATGCACAAGAATGCTTGTTGGTATAATGGAACCTAATGCTGATTATGGTGGCTCTTTCCCCTCTGCCTTCAGTGTTTGAGAGGATAAATTCAGACAACTCTTCATTATGTGATCATCTGAATTCCCAGAACTCAAAATCCCCTGTATTCATTTTTATTTATTTTAAATCAGAGGTGCAGCTGTATGGTAGTGCTGCTAAATTCCACGTGTTTCATATTTTCTACCTGTTTACTGTTCTGGTAGTATTGCAGTGCAGACCACCCCCAGTGACCAGACCTGGAGATTTAACTGTTTCTTCCACATTGCTCACAGCATATAAGTAGGACACACAGTACAGTGCTCTGTGGTTATCAAGACAGCTTCCATTGCTTTTTCCTGGGAAACTGTTGTAATTTTATGCTTCATTGTTTTTGGCAGCCTGGGAGTCAATTTTAAGAACACCTAATTGAGATTCATACAAGGCGTGAATGGTTTCATCTTTATTGTGCTGTACCAAAGTAGGTTATAAAGTAATACTAGCAGAAACAATATCTGGTTCAAAAGGGCTGGAAGGATTGTTGGTATTCTTTGTCACACACTTTTACAAGCAATAACAGCTAACGTGCTGCAATAAAAATGTTACAGGCCTGAACTATTCCGACAAAGAGTCCTGGAGTTGAATGCCTCTGATGAGCGTGGGATACAGGTGATCCGCGAGAAAGTGAAGGCTTTTGCTCAGCTCACGGCGTCTGGAAGCAGAGCAGAGTAAGTGCTGAACCCGAGCTGGCTCTGTTTGGTGGACTTTCCTGCTTAGGACAAATCTCATGATTGTTTTTATTCAGGTGAGCTTCATAATTCTCACCCTGCTCTGAAGTGAGCACTGCAGTCGAGCTCGCAGTGCGTGCAGTACTCTGCTAAGCTTTGACTTGATGTAACTTCACGTAAAATATGACTTACTGATATTTTAACTTGACTGTGTGTCTCCTGGATAACAGATTTCTTATCTTTCAGTGGTGAAGTTTGTCCTCCTTTTAAGATTGTGATCCTGGATGAAGCAGACTCTATGACCTCAGCAGCCCAGGCAGCCTTAAGACGCACAATGGAAAAAGAATCTAAAACAACACGTTTTTGCCTTATTTGTAACTACATCAGCAGGTGTGGAAGGAATTTGTTGCTTATTTGAACTTGTTACTCTTCTTCCTACTCAGTACTTCTTTTTTTGCTCTGCTTAGGTTTCAACTTATATATTATTTTATAGTGTTATGCTTTGGTTCTGTTTGCCTCCGTAGCTTCATCTACATGAATGTGACCACGTAACCATTTGGCAAGCATTTTTCTTTTTCAGAATAATCGAACCTTTAACATCTCGATGCTCCAAATTCCGTTTCAAACCTTTGTCAGACGAAATCCAGCAACAGAGGCTATTGGGTGTTTCTGAGAAGGAAAATGTGAAAATCACTAGTGAGGTGATTACTGAGTAATATTATTGTTTAATCCAGTGCATAACTGCATTGCAGCACAGGGACCTGAGCCAGCACAGCTTTCCAGACTTCTCAATTGTACTAAATATCATGTTGAAAATAATTTGGATGTTATTCTCACCACACAGATGGGGGTGGAATTTTCAAGGTCGTCTTAAAATCAAACTGTCTACCAGAGTAGATTAGGGGAAAAACTGTTGGGCTTTTTGCTCTATACTGAGTATAACTTACTGAACTTAAATCCATACTTCATTCTGAAATATCCAGCATGTGTTTGCAGTGCTTACAGCTGTATAATTTGTGGTGTACCCAGCTTTCTTACGCTTTCTGGATTATGCTTGCAGTTACTCAAGATTTGTTAATCACAATGAGATTTTAAGGCTGGCAAGTAGTACTTTGTCACAAGTAGTGACAAAAGAAATGTTCTGCTAGGTTATGTTTGTTCATTTGTGTTGTTCAAATCTGGTACTTCAGTTCTATCTCTACCTCTTTATATGGGCTGAAGTGCTAGCTGTAATTCACTCCACTGTGTATCACTTTGCCCCTTCTGAATATGTTGCTTCACAAAAGCCATGTGAGTAATACAAGTTGCCGCAGTTAAAATACAAATACAAGTGTGGATAAAGCAGTGGATCATTGTGTTACTGTGCACTGCTGTCCTGAGTTTCATTTCCATTATGAGACAAGTAACTTGGGAAAGGCTTGGTGACATTTGCAGCATAAAATCCTGGTTGTGAGATCTTCTCTCTGCAGTAGGTCTGCAGTAGCATTTATATTAGCAGATAGGCCTGGTCTGGTATTAAATAGGGAGGTTGGAGGCCCTGCATGTGGCAGAGGGTAGGAGATTTGTGATCCTTGAGGTCCCTTCCAACCCTGGCCATTCCGTGATAGGTTGCACTGTAACTTGTGTATTGAGGCTGTCTGTGACCATCTGCTTCAGGTTTGTCTGATGTTCTAAAGTCGGTTGGTTGAGGAAGTCTACTGTATCTTAATTAACAGTGAAAATATAACTTGGCATTTTCTCACGTGATCTTTCAGGCAATATCTTACCTTGTTAAAGTGTCAGATGGGGACTTAAGAAAAGCAATCACTTACCTTCAAAGTGCCACTCGCTTGATGGGTGGGAAGGAGATCACAGAGAAGACTGTTACTGAAATTGCTGGGGTAAGCTTTGTTTTACAGCTTGTCCTGTAGTAAGTCTGATATTGTTTGTGTACGAAGTATTCTTCCTATCTCTGCCTTTGGTCAAAGTTCCATTAAGACAATGGTTTTACGTATATTAGCTTTGTCAGTAGGGTTCTGATACAAAATCCCTCAGGATTTAAAGGGCTGCCTGGTTCTACACGCTTATTACAATGCAAGTTAATTCCAACTTCTGTATGTAAAGGGAACATGTAAAACATGCTTAATTTGAACCTGAAGTATTCTCTCTGTGAATGCAAAATATGATGCCTTGTGTAGGACAGTAGGCTAGAATGTCTTAGTGCATGTGGGTTTTTTTGTCTGTGTGAGTATGAAGGTTGTCACTGGATGGTTTGGAAATACCATGAAGGAATGTCTTTCAGTAGCAACGTGCTTTCAACTTGATGTCCACAGCAGGAGTGTTTCTCAGGGTATCTGTGCAAATTGGCTTTTTACAGAAACAGCAGAGATTTCATCCAGAGTGATATAGATAATATTGACAGGGGGAGCAGAATTCTGGGAGAAAATAGCTTTTAAAAAGCTGATGTGAAGATGTTTCTACGGCAACGAAACACCCCTAAAGCAAGAAATGTAAGATTAGGACTTGAAAAACTGAAAAAGTGAATTGGCTTTAATGATGGACACCGTTCCTTTGAAGGTGTCACTGTAGTGACTGATTGTGGAGGCTGAGAGGAATGGAATGGGAACAGGCAGTGGCTACTGTGTGTGTTTCATAGAACAGTTGTGGCTTTTCTTTTACATTTTCAGTGAACTGTTCAGTTCACACACAGCATCTGGCTGTATGAAAAGAGCTGGAGTTCACTTACAGGTAAATGTAAGTCATCATTTCTAAGAAGCCTTTTTAGCCTTCTAAGAGTTATTAGGCTTCTTAGAAAGAAAACATAATAGGAAGGAGAAGCATAAAATTCCATTTGACAGCTTATTGAATAGTACTTAGTTCAGCAGAAGGAACACAACTCTGCATCTCCATAAAGACTTTCAAGTTTTTGGTCATACAGGCCTTTCACATGGAGAGGTAATCTTAGGACAGAAAACAAATAAAGAAGCTTTGAAAGCAGACATTCAGCTGACAGGAATGATGATGTGTAGAGGGGAGAATGTCATCAGTACTCCCTGCTCTGAGATAAATAATGGCATCTGTCAACTTTTCTCTTCCAATTTATTGAGTGATCTTTTTCAAGGGGCTTTTTTTTTTTTTTTTTTTTTTAAATATTGTCCCTATTGCATCACTGGAGAGAAAATTGATTTGCTGTGTTCCTTTGGTGCAGTACGGTACAGAAAGCATTGCCTGATAAATGAAGTCTTGCATTTAGTGTCCCAAATAAATGATTGTTTTGATTTGAAAAATGGCTTTGACAATTCACCTCCATTACGTAGTTCTTAATATCCCCAGCATAGAACAAATAGTAAAGGTGAGCTCTCAGTTGTTTATTTAAAAAAAAAAAAAAAAAAGAAAAAAGTTATCTAGTCTGTCTCAGCAACTTGAGAGTGGTGTGGTGAGTAGAAGAACAAAATGGTCTCCTTTATGGACAGTTCATATTTGCTGCTGTAAATATCAGCTTCAGTCCTGCCTGAATTCTGAGTGCACCCAGTTGAAAGTAAGAAATGTAACTTCTTGTTGCAGGTCATCCCAAGAGAAACAATAGATGGACTGCTGTCTGCCTGTTGGAGTGGCTCGTTTGAGAAACTGGAAGCAGCAGCAAAGGTAGAGTCCCTGAGTGCTCCAGCCTGCGTGTCCTTCTAGGTCACTGCTGGGTGAATCCATTGTTATGGCACTGCTGCTGACAGCCACGTGGCATCACATCAGTCAGGAGGGGCATTTCAAGAAGCACGGCTTTCACCTGATAGTATGCTGAGCTCTCCCTGCTGAGGAAGTTGTGAAAGCAGCAAAACAAGATTCCCTACCAGTTAACTGTCCTTTTCCTGAACTAAACTGATGGCATGTAGAGCTGTTAGACAAGGTCAGGCACAGCAGCAATTCATAGTGAGACGCTTAGCTCAGAGCTTTAAAATTGCATCTTCAGTGGACAGGACTAGTCTCTGAACTACTCACCTACATAGCAACACAGAGGCTGTGTTAGATGAGAAGTATCCAAATAAAGCTGTAATAAGCCTTAGGTCTTAAAATAATTCATGTTAATCTTACAGTACAGTAAGTTTGTCTTACCAACTGCAGTGACTTAAAATAGATCTTGCTGGAGAAGGCACAGGCTGCTGGTTTAGGGGGTGGATTTATTTTCTTTAATACAAACAGAAGTTCTACTCTGAAGAATGTGAAGTTCCTAATATCATGAGTTCGAGTTTAGATGGTGATAAACTGGATCTTGAATCTAGGAGGAATCCCTGGTGAAGCTGAGCGTCCTGTACCATTTCCTGCTACAGTGGGGGTTTTGCTTCAATATCAGCACTTGGTGAACAATTGACACAATTTGAGTGTGTGCTTTTATAAAGCATGGTACTCTGTGTTTTGTACCAGATTGCACTTTTCTATTTTCCTAGACTTCTGTCTGCTTAAATGGCTTAATGGATGCTCTTCTCAGTATTTACTGCCACATGGCACTACTGGTTTAACAACAACAAAATGGTATCTTCAGTAGCCATAGTTTTTAATTTAAAAGCTTCTGGCCTTACAGTTCTCTGTATGTCTGAGGTTACTCACTACCAGATGAAGAAAATAAATCAAATTTGGCTGCACTTCAAAATGTGAAGGCTGTGAAACTCTGTCACATGGTGCTGTGGATGCTGAGCTTTCCTAATTTTAGAGAGAGTTTGGACAGGTTCCTCAGAGGTTGCTCAGAGTGCCTCCAGCTAACAAAATTCTTGATGTGAGTTGTCTGAAGCTGGGACAGCCTTTAGGCAAACGTTGCACTATGCCTGCTGTGCTCCTTGCTGCTACTTTGGGTGACTGTGAGGCAGGATGCTGGGCTGCACGTAAACTGACTTGTCCTGCACAACATCAAGTTCCACAATAGGTTCCAGTAGTGTCTTCTGGTTCACACAGTTCCTCAGATTGGCCATTTTCCTGTGTTTACTGCTTAATTATTTCCATTTTCTTCTACCCTTACACAGAATCTTATAAATGAGGGCTATGCTGTTGCTCAGCTCATAAGCCAGCTTCATGATCTTGTTGTTGAGAGCGAAGACTTCAGTGACAAGCAGAAATCAATCATTGTTGAGAAGCTTGCAGTAAGTTGGTAGTTTCTCTTTTTAGGGTAAAGAAGTTGTTAGTCCACAGTGCTTAATTTCTCCTTTTTTTTTTTCTCATGTATTTAGCTCTGATACTTTCCAGTAATTCCTTGCGTAAAGCAGGTAGAACTGATTAACCCCTGTCAGTTGCAGTGTGAATGGTGCATCTCCCTTACTGTTTATGAACTGTGAAGTCTTGGCCTCCTTGAGAAAGCGTGTTTTTCCTGGTGTGGGCTGAGAGGGACACAATGTGTGAGCACTGGAGAAGTTGGAGCCAAACGATTAACCAGTTGCCAGCTTAGCCAGGTTGCTCTCCCTTGTAGTAGGGGACAGCTGGCTCGTAAGTTTGTAAAGGGTTTTAACCTCTTGCTTCTGATTGCAGGAAGTGGACAAATGCTTGGCAGATGGTGCTGATGAATACTTGCAGTTGATAAGTCTGTGTGCCCTTGTGATGCAGCAGCTAACACGAAACACCTAGCTCCTCCAGCAGCAGTTACCTTGGTGGTTGTGGGATCTGCCTACTCTTGTATTGCTTTTACAATAAAGTAACTGCTCAGTAAATAGTCATGGTTTGATTAAAAGAAATGTGAGAGTGACCTTATTAGCTTAATGGAGTGTGGGGCCTTTGGAAAAAAGGGTTAAAGAAGGAAGCACTTCAGCCACTGGAGCATTTTTTACCAGAGCTTGTGACATTAAATGTAGCAGGAAGCACTTTGTTTACTGTAAACAGATTTGATGGGGTGAGTGAAAAAAGTACACTGCATTAGGTGACAAATAGCCAGGTCTCATTTCAGTTACAAGTGGATTTTAAAGGCTGGTAGCATTTGCTGTAGCCTTAAATCCATGCTTTCTTTCACAATGCACTACCCACAACTGACCCTGTTCTCAACTGCATGCAGTATGAGAAATAGAGGTTGAGCTCCCCAGGAAGTGACAGAGCTGCTCACCCAACCATCTGCAACAAGACTTACACTGCAAGTGAATATAGAAGTATTTTATTGAACATTCAAACTTCATTAAGACATGTGCAATATGGCAAATTTTACTGGGTTTAACCCTAACTAAGACAATAGTATGATTGCTTGCTTGCTGGGGCTTAGCAACAGGGTCCAGATCACACTTACCACTAATTAAATACTTTATTGAATAAATACATATCAAACAAAAATGCATTTTAATGCTCTTATAAAAGTTTTGAGATTTTGAAAGGCCTTTCCAATTCAATCTGAAGGGTAAGTACATACAATAAAGGAAGGTAGGCTAGTTTAACATAATTGGCTGATTTTATACAGCACTTATATCTTTTAGTCCATAAGTAAATTATTAAATGATAAAGAACATCTAATACAACCACTTCTATGGAACTAGGAAATAAATTTCTAATAAAGAAAAAATTTACAGACCCCATGACTTTCCACCCAACCCCAACAGTCTAACCCTAAAGTGGATAAAGCCAATGGCTTTCCCCACAAGAGCTCACGACAAAAAGTCGCTTCGCTTATCAAAAATCTGTATTTCTGATCCGTTATGAGCATTGAGACAAGATTCAATATATCCCCAAAGAAAGAAGCACAATGCAAGTGAATCGCCTATTCAGCAACAGCGAGCACTGCATTCAAACCATCTCCTCTCCAGGGATTAAATGAGATCAGCCACATTCATTGGCATCTCCTCCACTGTAGTATTGTAGAATGTCTCAATATCACGCAGAATCCTCTTGTCCTCTTCAGTGACAAAGTTTATAGCCACACCCTTCCTGCCAAAGCGACCTCCTCGGCCAATCCTGCACACAACAGAGAAGGCATTTAAGCACAGGTTAACTGCTCCCTTCACTTGAAACACTTTAAAAATGAAGAGATCCATTCATTAACTCCTGCTTTTATCTGCCAGTGGCCAGTGTGTGCTGTGCTTACTGGACTAGCTGCTGACCGTCACCTTGGTTAGGAAAAACTAGCAGTTAGTGCCAACAGTATAGCAGTGTCCATCCTATGGAGAGTAGCGGAGCAGAAAGGTTACGCTTTTGGCTGCAAAGTAAGATCTTCACGGAATGGTTGGTACTGCAGTACAATGCTGACCTCCTGCCTCCTCCCCTCTTTGAGGAATTAGAAGCCCACACCACATGCATCCAGTCTCAAGCACGTGGAGTACAGAGATGCTCATCTTTCAAAAATCACAACCTCTTAGGTTCATCCACTAACATGGAACAGCACAGTCAATTTTGACATTGATGGTTTCCAGTGGGAAAACTTAGGGTTGTTATGAAGACAAAAATGAAAGCTCACTGTTCTAGGAGTCTACGTCACAGTTCATTTAGTTACACCCACCATCAGTTCTACCTTCCTGTGGACTGCCCAGCACAGCACCTCGTCAACAAGGGCTACACACAGCAATGGCTCACAGAACTTAGGGAATAATCATGACAAAAGAAATATAAATACCGACTCGCTCTTTATTCAAACTGTGCCGCTTACGAATCCACGTCCTAAATTACGTCAACGCCGTTTCTGAGCACCATCTTGTGTCATCAACTGCTGCTATCGACTCCTGTATTTTTTTACATCAAGTAATAAAGCACAGTTTACTTAATTTAGGGACAGTCACTGAAGCAGTTAAACTAAACCTAGGGAAACAAAACTCAAATTGCTACCAGAAGACACACACCACACAGGAGAGAATACCACTGCAGAAGGAGCCACCAAGAGCAAACAAGGCACACAAAACATGAACACAATTAGTCCTCCAGGAGTGAAGACACATTTAAACCACTAGGCTTGCTAACATTAATGTCTGGTGACTGAGCAGCAGCAGCAAAGCAAGTGAGGATTAGCTAGGACCTAGGATCCAGCTAACAACCTTGCTGGCAAGATGCTGTGCCAATAATGGCACTGTCATCATCTGCTACAACCTGTGACACAGGGGCAGTTCACACACCTCAACAGCACATGGATCGGCCACTGCTGAACTCAGCATATTTCTAAGTTTTCCCACTGCTTTTTAAAAATTGACTTAAGAGCTCTGCTCCTCCCTCATCTCAGGACTGCGTGCAAATCAGGGCCTTTTCAGCATAAAAAAGCCAATGCATTTACTTCCTGCTAGTTTTTGGGGTTTTTTTGCTTTGTTTGCAGTTATTGTATGCATGGATGGGTAACACTCAGTGACAAAAGACTAACAGAAGAGCAGGTGAGGATTTGCGCCAAGTTCTGTGCAGAACGTGGCATTCAGTGTAATGCACAAACTAGAGGACAGAGCAAACTAACCTGTGAATGTAATTTTCACGATTGGTCGGCAGGTCATAATTTATAACCAAAGAAACTTGCTGCACATCAATGCCACGAGCCTGGAAAACAAAACAGGACCTTTAATGCAAGTCACAATCTTTAGATTACATTACTTACCGCTTGCTTTTGTTGACTACATTGTTAGTGACGAACTACAACTGTGTAGTCCATAGTGGAGCATAGTCTTTTCTCTTCCAAGAAGCTCCAGTAGTTCAGGCTACAAGAACCTTCACTGTATTATGAAGCTTTTGGCACCACATTGAAACAAAAACATGCTCATGTGAGGTAATACTCACCAGCAAGTCAGTAGTGATCAAGACACGGCTTGATCCTGATCTGAACTCTCTCATGATAACATCCCGCTCCTTCTGGTCCATGTCACCATGCTGCAGTTAAGAACGTGAGAATTACTATGGGAATTCCAGTACTCCAGAATACCTTCAGAAGTAAGAGGATGTCTGAAGCCCAGCGTCCCTACCTGCTGTGGGAACTAAGCAGGTAGGGATAGAAGGAAACATTTTTCTTTAAGCAGGGGGAACGATAATACAGCACTGCACAGCTATATCATAACTTATCCTGCTTTTGTTAGTGTTGCTTTTCAGTATGTACCTGGCATTTCTGAAGTTGAGTGAGAGGAACAATTCTTACCAGAGCTGAGACTGTGAAGTCCCTGGCATGCATTTTTTCTGTAAGCCAGTCCACTTTTCTTCTTGTATTCAGAAAGATAACGGCCTGAGTAATGGTCAGTGTCTCATACAAATCGCAGAGAGTATCCAGCTTCCACTCCTGAACACACAGCAGAAACAGAAATAAAAACTCTAAAGCCATGATCAATCAACATACCCCACTGCACACCTATAATTAACATGACCTGGAAAAAACCAGAACAATACACAGTTTCTGCAGCAACTGTTGCACCAGATCTTCAGACACAGGACAACGGACATTAAGAAAGAGGTCCACCCCAGTCATTTTCAATCCAGTGCATCATTTTTCTTCTTCTTGCGTGTACTCTACTAGCATTATTACAGAAACCAAAGCTCAGCCTCAGTTTCTGTAATTTTAGCACAGTGCTTTAACAAGAAGGTAACATTCCTGAACTCTTCCAACAAGAAGCATAACTGACACCAACCTCTCTTTCAACGTTAATGTAGAATTGCTTGATACCCTCCAGAGTCAGTTCTTCCTTCTTCACTAGAATACGTATGGGTTCTCTCATGAACTTTTTGGTCACTTCCAACACATCCATTGGCATCGTAGCTGACAGCAGCACAACCTAGAAAGCAGTGCTCCGTGTTAGCACACACCAAAGACATGACATCAGTTTCTGCTCTGTCACTCTGTTCAGGAAAACTGGAACCATTAACAAAATCAGTGACTGCATTGCCATGTTTATGTCAGAGCACAAACCTGACCTTCTCTGAGGTCAAGGCAGGCAGGAAAGCAACTGAGCAGTTATCAGGTACACCTGTAACCAAACCTGCAACCATCAATTCCACCATGTAAGATTCTTACCTGAATGTTAGTGCTTAGTTTCTGGAAGATCTCATAGATTTGATCCTTAAATCCTCGGCTCAACATTTCATCAGCTTCATCCAGAACAAACATTTTGATCCATTTGGGTGCTATCAACAAGAAGAAAACACTTTGTGAAGAAACAATACTTCATTACTGAGTGCTCAGAGAAAAATCCAGTCTGTACTTACAAAGGTAGCGTCTGTTCAACATATCAAACACACGGCCTGGAGTTCCAACCACAATGTGTGGAGCTTCAGCCTGAAGTTTCTGCATTTCATTGCGAACATTTGTGCCACCAATGCACGCATGGCACGTTGCTCCCATGTAATCTCCAAGGGCCAGAATTACCTTTTGAATCTGAAAATAAAACCCTTCTGTGAGTAGCAGCTACTGGCACATTCAGTGCTACATCATTGCTGCTTATGGACTGGGAAGGATTACATGGCTCTACAGACTATAGTGAAGATCTGCCTCTCATTTTGCCCTTCTGCTCATTATTTAGGTGTTCATTAGAAACTTCAAAGTCAGAAGGACAGTTGTGAAGTTACTTTTCACTCTCACTAGTTTTAACTACCTAATGGCAATTCCCAACTACCAGTTAAGTAGAAAAGCAAGGCCTCAAAAAAGAGCTGTTATCATTTGCACATAAAGCTCTTGCAGAAAGCTCTTATGAAAGTGCCCTGCCATCTACGCCAGGCTTTCAAAGCTGCCTCATCTCAACAGCACCTTCAGACTAAAAAACAGAAGACAGAACCTTCAGTCAGAGGCTCTTCCTCCAGATATTTTCCTCAAGATTTCTTCTCTGTCTTATCTCATACATTTAGTTTTACCTTTAAAAAGAGTCTTTACCACAGCACTGGCATCTTGGTATATACTAGTTTTAAAAGCAGAGCAATTTTTATGCAATCGATTTTCTACTCTATTCTGAGCTCTGGTCATCTTAACCTTAAAAAACCAGCATTACTAGGTTACGTTAATGATAAAAGTTATGTGTCCTTTAAGCTCTGTTCAAGTACTGCCACTTACTAAAACAGAACATCAAGCCCTGAGGGTGACACAGACATGCAGTGTAACAGTAAGAAAACATCACAGCATTACAGAAACAATGAAGTGACCACATGTGCACTGCAGTTTTCATGTTGCACAACTGCACGCAAGTTTCAGTAGTTTCAGAAAACTCTATTTTGGTTCCACTCAGAACACCGTACTTGAGTAACACTTTTTTTTTTTTGCTGAAGATGCTCCCTTAGAACTGTGTACAACAGAGCAGCTGCTTTCTGCAGCCCTGCCCCAGCACACCCTCCAAATGCAGCACAACTCTTCAAGCAGTCAGAGAACTTGTGGGACAGAAGCCAGTTCATTTCCCCCATTACTCAACACAAAAAGGGTTCTGAATGGATAAGAGTTACAGCCCCTTAAGTCTCACAGTTGTGAAACCTGAAACCTATGCAACACACAAGCAGCTTTTTTTTTAAACTACACTATCAATACCTGTTGAGCCAGTTCTCTGGTAGGGGCCAATACTAGTGCTTGGGTCTCCTTGAGATCAATCTCCAACTGCTGCAGGATGGAAATAGCAAATGTGGCTGTCTTGCCAGTACCTGACTGAGCTTGAGCAATCACATCATACCCTAAAAAAAGTAGGATACACGTTTACTGTTCCCACACTGGTCATTCACGTTTAGTTTCATTTCATTCCCTTTGAAATAAGTGATCAGCATTACAAGTTCTCTCCATTTCAGGTCAGCCCCGAAAGATGGTGTACCATCACATCACTTGTTCCATAGAGATTAAAAACATGTACAAATGCAGAAATAAGATGAACGGTATATTCACTTCACATTTTCTTAATCAATGTGTTACTATTGACAGTAAAGGAATCACTCCCCTACCTTTGATGCATGGAATAATAGCTCTCTGCTGAATAGCTGAAGGCTTTTCAAAACCATAAGCATAAATGCCCCTTAGAAGGGATTCCTTTAAATTCATATCATCAAAATTGTCGACAATCTCATTCCAATTGCTCTGCAATGAAGAAAAACAAACAAGTTTTGGCCGAGTTACTCCATCCACGGCCCAGCTCCATGCATCGGGGCGGTTCGGGGACTGCGCTCACCTCAATGACACCATCGGGCTCCATTCCCTCGGGGCCGCCATGGTCTCTGCGGGAGAACAACACCGGCGTTAGCGACGGGCCGTGACGGATCGGCCCAGCAGGTGCTCTGGTTCCGTGCCAGCCGGCCGCCCCGACGCTCTGCCCAAACCCTCGGCCCGTCGGACGGACGCCCCGCAGCCCCCGGCCTCCGCCTCCCCCTCCCTCCCTGGTCACCTGCTGGAGGCGGCGGGGAAATGGCGGCCGCTGCGCAGTGCGAGATCCGCCGCAGCGCCGGGCGTCAGCGCGGGAGAGGGGGGAGGAAGGGGGGGGGGGGGCGGGGGGAGCGGGAGCCGCCGGCCGCGCCGCGTTTCTCCCACCCGTCCCCGTCAGCAAGTCTCGCGAGAGCTCCACCCCTGGGATTGCGCAAATTGGGCACCGAGGGCGGCGAGCGAGGAAGGCGCCGGCACAGCGCCCCGAACATGGCCGCGTCTTCCGCCCGGCCCTCGGAGCCGGAGCGATCGTAGAGAAAGGGAGAAATCGGTGGAGAAAAATAAAAAAGGGGAAATAAAAGCCCGCCAACAAAAACGCTGCTCTGTTTTATCGCACAGCGCGCAGGGATGGATCAGATCTAAAAACAGCCCTTTTTCAGAGATGGGGGGTTGTAAAGATAGGCAGTACGAACGAGAACCCCGAGAGAAAGGGCTGAAGGGCCGAACGCTGTGGGGACGCGGGATGGAAACGTCTGGAAGCGGGAGGGGCCGGGGGCGCGGGGCCGGGCAGCGCGTTCTGCCGCATCCCGCCCGCTCCGCGCGGAGAAGGGGCCTGGGGCCTCCGCGCCGCGCCATACCTGCTATAATCCGCGGAGCCGCCTGACATGTTCCGATGACCAGCGCTGTCCTCAACTGAAAAGGCAAAGCTTCCGCGGCGGCCGCCTTTTATACCCGCCCGCTGCCGGACTCGTTTCGCTCCGCTCTGCGCATGGATATACGCCTCACACCGCGGCGAAAAAACGCGAATTCCCGCCGATTGAGGCCCCTCTGCCAGCGATCCCTTCCCGCCCGCTCCGTGAGGCGCTCTCAGGGGGTGTTTCTCGGCCCCCGGGGGTCGCGAGGGCAGTGGAGCCTCGGACTACTTTTTCCTCCCCTCGGAGCGCGGAAGGATATTGCACCAGTGGCGGCGTGATGGTAACGCGCTCCTTCCTCTCGCCCCCCCTCCCGCTCCGCACGGGGTTTCCTACCCCGGCCCTGCTGCAACGCGGGGGAGGGGAGCGCGGGGAGCCGCGCTGAGGGGTCGGTGCGCGACATGGCTGCGTCGTGCAGGCAGAGCGCGTCGGTTGTTTTTGAAGCTTTCCGTGTGCAGTCCGAGGATGGCAGGGCAGAGCAGCTCCCTCGGGTATCGCGGGGCTCGCCCCCTGCTCCCCACACACAGAAGTGCCGGCGCCGTGCAGGACGGCTTCCCCGTGTCAGCTCGCGGCGAGGGCGGGAGGGGCCGGCAGAGAGCAGAGGAAAGGAAAGAGCGGCAGCGGGAGCCGCCCGGCCTGCTTTATGCGGGGGAAACGGCGCCCTGAGGTGCAAGGGATGCTGCCCCTTGCTTTCACGTTTTGGAAGAACGTGTTGGTGGTTTTAATGCATCTCTTGGGTTCCACAGTATTGTGTTCGTATTTCATACAGGCAAATAATGCAAGTTGTAAGCCATCGTTGGTGCCCTCTTTAACTGGCGTTCGTGAGTCACCTCTGAAACTTGTTTCCATAGTGATTCTATAGGAGCAAGTGCAGTGCTTGGAAAACACGACCCTTTGCTTGTCAGGAATGCTGAGAATTGTGCAGAATTGACTAGAATATCTGTGAGGAGAGGCCGAACGTACCGTGCTGTGGTAGCATCTGCTGGGGAAACACCTCCAGAAGTAACAGCACGTGCCGATGTCCGGGCTGAATGGGACAACCTCTGCTGACCTGCCCTGCTGCTCCCGTGCCTGCCCCCGTGGGCTGGGAGGGCTGCGCTTCTGCTTGGGGCTGCCGTTCACAGCAGTGTCTCAGCACCCTCCTGAACCACGGCCGTGCACCTCTGATGTTTTGTATTCCGCTTTAGTTTATTTGCAAGAATGTGTGGAAAAGCTTTTTAGGATGTTTAGGAACGTCGGCCAGCATTTTCAGTCTTTGAAGGCCCCTTTAAAAAACTTATAAGCTGCTATCTGGGAAGCAGGTACAGCATTGAAAGGTCAGACTTGGCCACTGACAACGTCTGGGACTTGCTGCATCCTCTGGCTTTGAAGCTTTCTAAGCTTCGTGCAGCCATCTCCACTGAAAGTCTGCTCAAGGCCCGTGTTTGCGTTATCATCGGGCTGAAGTGATACCAAAAAGATATTCAATAATAGCTTTGTCTGTGCTGCTGTCGTTAGGATCCACAGCCGCACTTTATGTGCACGCTGTGCGCTTGGGTAGATGTCTCCCCGAAAGACAATCTTGGTGAATCATGAGATCTTTGGTGGGAATGAACAGAACGACGCATTTATTAATACGGGGTAACAGATGGACCAGCTAGTTTAGCAGCTGGGTTTCCAGTCATTACTCATGCAGATCAAAGAGAAGAATGATATATCTAAAGAAAGAAGTAGGAGTTGACGCCTCCTGAAGCTGAGCTCCAGTTGAGCAATCCTTTGGAAATTTCAGAAAGCTCCTTTTAGAAATCTCCTGCCATGACTTGAACATACCATGAAGCTGTCACGGACTTCTTGGAAATCCTGGAAGACCCTGAAATCTCTTTCTGCACTTGTGCACAAGCAGTTCCAGCCTTGTGTTGCAGTTGATATCATGCATTAAATAATCCCCACAGCTAGCAGGGCAGAGAAACATCGTACACAGTTTATTCAAGGTAGGTCGTGCTGAGGATCAAAATGACTTATTAGGGTGTTGTTAGCAAGAGGTAATGTTTTTCAATTCGTCGTTCCCAAAGGATCCTGCCTAAACAAAAGCATGCTTCCTTGGATGTAGGAGTGGATAGCAAAGATTCTGGAAGGTCTCCAGGGGAGAGAAAAGGTCTGAGTTGCAGGAGCCCCATGCCTGTTATTTAACTAGTCCCAGGGTTTTGTTAATGCTGACTTATCTTGTCATTCCACTGAAACTGCAATCTAGACAAATTAAAGAATAGTAGTTTATAAGGTGCAGTACTGTTAATGCACTGAGGCTTGTTTTTATTCTCTAGTATTTTGGTATGATTTGACATCCACAGAATGATGATGTTAGCACATCAGGCTGCTAGGTTGGATTTGTCATCCTTTTTAAAAGTTATTTCACAACTTGGGTGTTTGTTTTTTTTCCCCACACATATTTGTGCTCCCTGTAGCTGCAATCAGGCTTTAGTTATGAAGTCTCCATGATGCCATGTCGAGTGAAGTGGAAGAACTTCCAGACGTGGCATTTTCTCTCTCAGTTGAAGATTGTCTCAGTGAGTCGTTGTGCTTTAGGCCGATGAGGAACATTGCCCAAAATGTTTAAATGAATGAGGAGCCGAGCGCTGTGCAAAGCCAATGGGATTTGGGCTGCTTTATTTCATTTCTTTGTCCCCTGTGCTCAGTGTGTTCTGGACGTTCAGACTTCGTGCCGAGGCCGTAGGGTGGATGGGGCCTTTTGCTGGGCAGCTGACTCACCTGTGTGCAATGTAGGCACCGTGGTTTGTGGCTGTGCTCCCTCACTGCTCCGAGAGCAGGTCTGCAGCACTCCTCCTTCACCTCTGTACGGCTGTGTCTCTTAGCCTGAGTCCTCTCATTGCCCGTAATATAACGGATATTCCCAAGGCAAGTACTCGAAGCAGAAGAATATCTTCTGTCATTTTTTTTTAATCATTAACTCCTCTGTGTACTGTGGAGCTCCATGGTCATGCTTTCAGGTCTTGAATGCTCTCCTTGCGGAATGATTGCATTATTTCTGACAGTTGTAGAGGTTTGGAACCGCGCCCTGGACACGCCTGCAGCTGAGCTCTGTTCTCTGGTATCTGAAAGACTTTCGATGTGACCACAGCCCTGTCATTCTAGCATTAAATCGAATAGGTGATACCAATTAGAAGCTTTCCATTGACTTCTGTTGGGATGAGAAGTTTGCACTTCAGTATTTTTCCTTTGTAAAGTGGGGAAGCAGTACTTTCCTCAGAGGTTACATGTGGGCTGGTGTTTGAAAAATGTGGAGATATGTAATGGGAAGAGGCTTAGAAAGCATTTGATAGGAGTTGCTTGCATGCTTTCAGGATAGAGTCTGTTCTTTCTGTTGCAAAAGCAAAGAAAGAGCGATTAAGCAGGTGGCAGCTGCTGATAACATCCGGGCAGTCCTGGGTTACATTTGTTTTTTAAGTTAATTAGAAGGCTTCTGCACTGCTCTGAGTAGCATGTCATGTATTTCCCTGAGAAAGTCTTCAAATAATGTTTTTTTTCCATTGCTGAGAAAAAGGTAATTTAATTGTATAAAGAAAGCACTTTTCCCTTTGATATTGGCAAGTCATCTAGGTAAGTTATTTGTTCTCGTGGTTGTTCAATCTGGAATCCCCTGAAGATGCCTGAGATTTTTTAGTCACTGAGCTGATTTCACTTCAGTTTTGAAAGAGCCGTACTGGCTGAGCTGCAGCTGTATTGAATTTGAAGTACCTCTCCTCATTGATTAAACAAGCCTCCAAGAAGCAGAGTGGTGTTTCTGTCCTTCCAAGGAGGACCCAAAGCCTGTGAGCTGCGCCAAGGCAGGAGCAGTGCCTCAGCAGCTCTTGGATTGAGCAGGGCTGTATCCACAGCATCACAGTATGTAGTAAAACAAAAAGCCTTAAGAGAGCCAGCCCTGTGTGTGCACTGAAGTCTCCATCTCCTCCAGCTGAGCGTCTTAACCTGTAAAACGGAGTATTTTGCGTTTAAAGAGCTTGTTCCAACATGTAAATGTTAGCAGTAAATGGTTGTTAATAAAATGAGCTGTGTCGGTAGAGGTATTGCCTTGAGGTAAACCTTGGCTTCTAGAAACTGAAAGTTTTCCACAGAGCTTTAATTTTTGTAAGAAATTGGCATCTGTTTCTGTCTGGAGGAAAGCACAGCTCAGATTCCCCCAGTTCTGGTTCTGTCAGCAGTGCTGGCTTAATAGAAGAATGCAGATAAGTACTTTCAGCCTTGTGCCCTCATTTCATCTGCCTGGAAAATTATAATCTATTTTAGAAGTGTCCCTTAGACTGTAAACTGTTGAGGGACTGATTGCTTTCTGTGCTTTGCTTCCGTCTGCTTCTGGTCATTCCGGGAGGGGAGCTGAGGTTTCACCTGGGTTTTAAAGAAAAAAGTAGTGGAGGTAAACATTGAGGTGTGTTTAATCACTTTTGTTTTGTTAATCTTTGTGAGATTTTTGTTTTGTATGAAAAAATGTAAATATTAGGAGGCTTTCCTCCCTCCCAGCATTCCAGATGCTGTTGCCAGGACTGGGTCTGAAATGTGTGCCTTGAAGCTGCTGAGGAGCTCACTTGTAAGCCTTCTCCTCTTTTGTTTGTGGTTTCTTTTTAGGGTTGCAGAGCACCTGTAGGCCAGCCCTCAGCTCCCATGGTTTGTGCTGTAGCCCACCTCAGAATGCTTTTCTGTTTTGTATGCTGAGTGAATGCTACTGGCAGAAATGAACGTGTAAGGTGCAAGACAGTGAAAAACTTGTTCTTCTATTTTCAGGTGGTGCAGAACAGAACAGCTGCCCAGGTTCTGCCAGGATGCAGTGATGCAAGCACAGCCAGCACACAGGTAATCACATTATTTTGGCTTGGAAGTGCTGCAGCACTGCTTGTGCTAACCCGGGGCTTCATGACACTGCTGTCAGCAGTGACCAGAAATCTTTGTTCTTTACACAGCAGGAAACAGAAATGACAGTTCATGTTGAATTACACAAATATATTGATTTATTTCATGCAGATCTGGGAAGTACTGAGATGATAATTTACTGGCTTTTTTTTCAATAAATGAAGCAAATGCATGT